AGACACCGGTTGTTTTGGCAAGCTGATTGGCACAAGGTTTCAACGAAATGTTTATCGGCACCGTGATGCTTGTAAACTACGCATTTCTTCAACATTTGGAGAATCTCACCCGGGATAGCCGGTTTAACTGCAAGAATAGTTAGAAACGTGGTGAGGGTGCATACGGATGGTACAGAAACGAAATGGTGATTTAGTAGATGAACGTCGGTACACGTGGCTCACCGAAATAATTTCAACCGTAGTTCTGTTCGGATATGTTTTCGAACTCTAATCATGAACAGACGGCTTTAACGGCGTTGCTACGCCTACCTGTCTTGCAAGTCGTCCAAAATCACGAAGCAGTCAATCCAAACGCGTGGAGGACAACCTAGGTGTTATCCACAATATTGGTGCATTGCAATTCCAGTGGAGCTTTCGCGAAACATATATTTTATCCTTTAGATCAATTGACGCTGTAGCACGATCGATTGCATAATCTATATTCAAAAGAGAAATTTACCATTGTTTACATCACAGGTTCGAGATACGCATGTTTCATTTGCGTATTATAACACGAGGAGTCTTCACATATTGAGAAAGCCTGTGCCTTACGGATATAACTAACGTTTACACTCGTCACCACCCAATACAGCACTCGACAAAAAAACGCAATGATTGACAGGTTCCTCAGTTTAGTCACATGGTCGTGGAAAGTGTAAAAATTCCTCCTGAGTTGAGAATTGCCATGGAGTCATGTGTCGTCAATAGGAAGCACCGGATAGAAGGAAATATACATGTTTCTCATAGAGTGTACATCTGAACCACGCAATCTATGTATATTGCATTTGATCCAGAGTAGCCAAAGCGTCAGGTCTTTGCGAGAGCCAGAAGCATTGAACTTTTTATCCAACAAACAAGGTTGTTTATCTCGGAGTGGAGATTGTTCTGGTGGCTTTTCATGTAGGAGAAACCAATTTTTTATCTGTCGCACTGGGCAAAGGCACAGCAACAGAAGCTGCTTATTTGGAAACTTGTTCATTGGTCGATTTCGACGTCAACTTCTAAACGTACTGAAAGATAAAACGATGAATGAACACATTTCAAACCATAGACTATGGACTCGTAAAAGAAAATGAAGGAATTCGATCGCAGTCGACACTGGTAAAGATATCCGGATGCCTGGTTGAAGTATATTGCAAAGATTATTAGGGAATAACTTTGAACTTCACAGTTTATTAAGCAACGTGTAAGAGAAGCAATAAGTTTGACTTCAGGTTCTGAAGATAGAAGTATATAATTATTTCCCTTGTTCAAAACGTTGTCCAACGTGCACTGTTAGTCAGTTTGCCCCTATTCGTAACAAGACACGTTAGCGCGATGTGATAGCACAACATGTTCCGGTGGCTACGGGAGTGAAGGACTTGCGCTTTAGATGTTGTGTCCTTAATTAGAGCTGCATTTGAGTACATAAATGCGAAGCGCTTATTTGCCGTGACAAGACAAATGAAATGTTTTGCGCTTTCTAGCTTTGCTATCACTTTTGTTTGCTCTTCATACTACGAAATACATCGTAGGCTAAGCAGTTTCATTTCAGTTATATATATGCAATTTATCATTTCAAGTTTGGATTGGCGGTGAAATGAGTAAAAGATAAAGGATGATTCAGACCTGTGTTGCGTAAACATCAAATTTGTATCAGGTAATGTGTTAAGTAAACACGGTTATTTCGGTTTGATAACAAATGATTATAATTGTATTACCNAAAACACAGAAAGATTTCATGAAGTGGAAGCTGTACGTCAGCATGTGATTTTGAAAAAAAAAGGAATTGATGTGAACGTGTACGGTCAAAAGTATCCACTGCAGGGAAGGTAAATAATTCTCCAATTTCCAAAACCATGGCTGAAATTGGAAGGCCCCGCCAAGTGTATTTAAACCTGTGTTGCGTAAACATCAAATTTGTATCAGGTAATGTGTTAAGTAAACACGGTTATTTCGGTTTGATAACAAATGATTATAATTGTATTACCGTGTCTGAAAACAAATCAATCCATAATGCATGTCAATAGATCTGACATTGGAATGGATTTGCATGCATTTGAGTTGTTTTGAGAGAGCCCGTAACCAGCCGAGCAGTCTTCAGCCTACAATTACTCATGAACATGTCAGTCGAAACATCATGTTGCCGATTTGACTGAAGTACTGGAAGTGAGCAATCACTAATTTATTTGAAGTTTATTGTCAAGCGTATTTAACAAATGACTTAGTTGCTACACGAATATATATATATATATATATATATATATGTATAACAAAATGGATGTATTCCAAAGTGCTGCTTCACATTGGTGAATCAAAAAATATTTAAACTGTAAGAAAACCTTTAGGTTATTTTCAGTGAAAGAACACAAAACACAAACAATTCTACTGTGACCATGTCGACAGCACGGTGACGTAATAATTATTGGTTTGTTCCATATGCAGCTATCAGGTTGCAGTTACCATTGAATGAACAACGATATTCAAACGTAGAGGATTATTACCTCAACCTTGCTGTATTGATCAGTTTGATACAAGCATTATCAGGATGGTCTGCAATTGTCACGTTTGGTATGAACAAATTTGGGTAACCATGCGGGAAATGCAATGGGGTATTATTGACGATTTCACAGTCCCCAGAGTTAAAATTTTCTACAAATTGTCTTGCCTTTCTATTGTGTTGATAACAAAAAATCAGTAATGCTCAATACAATAATGAATGCAATTATTTCTTAACTCATTCACCACTTTTTCCTTGAAAAGCAAACGTTCTGAAAGAGAAAACGATATATGAATGCATTCCAAACCATGGATTAGGCAGTCATATAGGAAAACATTTACCACCGTTCTGGAATAAAACACACGGATTCCATTGTAAGCTGGGAAAACCTTTCATGTTGATAGGCAAAAATATTTGTGCGTGTTCATGGAAAGATTCGTTGTTATACCCTTCTGTTACCACCCACATAAGTGGAAATGACAGTATTAGGAAATACGCTCACAAAGAATGAGCAAAGAATGACCATGAAAACCTATATGGAACGCGTTTTCCTAAACGTAGCACTTGCTTCAGGACACCAAATTCTCCACGGGTTAGTCTGTCATAGGTTGTGAATTTTCAGAATATGCTATTTGAGAAACCATAATAAAAGTCAATTACGATACGGTGCCTCATATAGGACATTCAGTCATTATTTTAGAGTTAGCAGTTTAGTTTATTCCCGATATACTTCATCGACCCTATCACCTTGATATAACCTCTTTCTACATCGGAATCCATACATGTGAATACCGTAATTACGTTGCAGCGTTTTGGCCTAACTACAGCTTAGGTAGATATTTGAATAGGAAAGTGGAATATAATGGTTTGCACAAGCCATGGACAGTCATTTCCATCCGTGTGTTTATGATAATACTGCAGTCACACTGATTTTTCTAGTCGGCGAGATAAGAATTGTGAAACAAAGACAACATACAGTATGCAGTGCTCACGTGTACAATTGCCGCAAAATCACACGGGTTCGGAGTGCACACGTCGATTCCTGACTTGCCTAGTCAGATCGTGGCACAAAACAATGCTTTCAGTTACTTGTAAGCATGTAACGTGCAAATAGAGGCATACTTCTTATAATGGAGCAACTCACTTACTATTGCATTTTTATCTTTGCGAATTAGCCTACGGCCGTTGAAACACGATTTAGTGCTTGTAACATTATCCCGAAACACTAGTTACAAGCAACTGTGAGGTACATTTGTAGATGTTTTCCTTCATATTATTTTCGCGTTCCCGGATGATCTTGAGCGGTCCACTCGTTATGGTTTGTGTATGTTTGTGGTTTAGCTGCGTTTGCATCCAGAAGCAATGCAATCTGTTTTCTGTGAATTTAATTTGAACTTTTAAATACATCTAAATGCAGTGTTTATGTTGGCATGACGAAAAGCACTATGATGTGTATTGGAGGGATAATAAAATAGCAAGCCATTTTCGATTCAGGCTGCTCAGGGTTTTATTGCAGTGAAAGTAAGTATGCAACTGCATTCACTCGAATCGCAGATCAATGAAGGCAGTGATTTGCTTCATCAAAAATGATGTTTCTCTATGGTTATGCCTAGGCACCTCATGCCTTCAATCAATAACGCCCACGACATCTTTCTTCATTTGGTCTCGTTGAATAATGTCTAGGAGCACAACTGTCAACTTTGCTGTCGCAGAATCACTGCGCGCAATATAAAAGCAACGGAGTTGCAGCTAGTCAGCACTGACGAAACATGCATTCGCGCCTTGTGACATTGCTCATACTTGGTATTTGCATATGGACCGCCAACAGTGAGTTTGTTCACTAGCCGGTTTTAAGGTGTGCTTATTCTATAAAACTGCAGCTACATGTCTGAAAGAGTACACTGCGTCTCCTAGTGAACAAAACTTCACAGTGCAAACTGGTATTCCCGGTTGTCAGGCTCTCGTAAAGCCGACGGATGAGAAGAAAGTAATGGTTTACTTGAAGGTCCAAGGGGTGAGTTAAAAACATTGACGAACGTAGCTCGCTGGTTTTACTTTCATTGTAGTGTCACCTGACATAACTCTCCTCACTATGTCCGCTTCACAGAGTGGTAGTGCCACGGAATGTGTACAGGTGGCCAGTGGAGGCATAAAGACGAGTATATGCGCGACGCCGAACAACAACTCTTTTAGTTCGACTGATCCGACCGAGGTTGGTACAGATTTGGGTGCATCCAGCACAACGGTTACAACGACCACCACCACAACGACGACCACAGCGACGACAACGACAACGACACAAGCACCTGTCGTTCCGGGAGGCTCGCCCGAAGGTGCAAGTGTGATGAAATTACGCGAAAAGCGATCCCCACCAAAGAACACCGATATAACTGTTTTCTACATGCTGGGTAAGTTTACCACTTAAATTCAACTCCGAGAAGAACTTTAATATGCTCAGATTTTGCATGGCTTAGGGGGCTTTTGTACTGGTATCTTTTCAGATATGTAAAATGGTGAACTGATTTTTAAGCCCGCTTCTATATATAGTGTCACGATTGACATTTTTGTTGAATATTCAAAGCACATTCTGTCATTTTATTTGTTTATTGCGTTTCCATTCTGTTCTCCTAGATGGGGCCGCCTTGTTCACTCCGTCGTTCGGATTGACGCTATTCAGTATTCTGAATCTTCTATCTGTCAATGTTTTGTGAGAGATTGCATGAGCTGTTCCATTAATGTTTGCTGACTGTGAAGTTCATCGGTTTATGGTAATCACCTCGAACGCAATTGTGATTCATTGAAAACTGAGAATGTTTCCGTAACGACCACTTCAATTTCGAGAACAAATCTTAAATACTTGCTCAAATGATTGAAGACATTGTCCTTCCTCATTGCAAATCCAAGGAAATAGTAAATTGTTTGGCAAATTGACGCATGAATTTCTCCGGTAAACAGGGCAAGGCATGGTGCTGAGTAACCGACCGGTTAATGAAGGAAAATGGATTCGTACACGAAAAAAATAACCTTTACTTCCTTTTTAGAAATACTATGATCGCATTGAAATTATGCAGGAGAAAAGTAACTTATGCCTAATTCTGGGCTATCGGTTTGCTTTGTGCAGTCAAATTAGCGACAAATAGGAAACACTTGTTGAATGCAATCTACGTTGTATTCTTTTGACGTGGGAACAAACCAAGTTGGTATGGTTGGATGTTAGGGACAAGATTGTCTCGAAAATGTACGTTACATCATGTGTTTTTAACTGGAATGCAATATTGTTAAAGATAACCACGCGCTGACATATAATGCATCACTCACGAGGAATCGCGCACTGATTACGTCATAAGTGGTTCGTGTGTTGTGCACGGAAGTTTGGATCTTCAGCGATTTACTAGGCCTTGGAGTTTACTTAAAATAGAGTGTGATCAACAGTGAATACCAGAATGCGGATTAGATCACGTTACAAAGAAACAAAAAGAAGTTTAAAATGAGACCATGCATGTATGTGGAAGTGCAGATTCATTTTAATTTACGTTTCTGTATCCTGGGGAAGAGACATTCAAACAAGATCACACAACCAAGCCACAACCGAAAAGTTAGGCGTGTGGTTCGCACGCCTCCTTTTGTTGGGTTTGCAACCAGGGTTTTTATCAAACACCCTTAGGTGAAATACCAGTGGTCCACCAAGTCAGAAAGAACAGTCGTTAGTGTGCTCGGTAACAGGCAATCAAAAAAGACGACTCCAATAATCCTACTGAATCTTTAAACGATATTTAAGGCGATCTAAAAACAAAACGATTAGTTTCGTTTAAACCACAGAAAAATGTGGTTAAGCTGTCTGGACTCAAAACACATTCACAAACTTTGCAATGAAATCATGTGTAACGACCAGCTTAGAGCGCATTGGAGCAGAGAACGAAAGTTTTACCATTCTCGCAAAATCGGTCTGGAGGAATCCAGTTCGCGTATATTCATCAAAAGTCAAACGAGCATTGTCTCCACTGAGACTGATGCAACATTGTAAACCATGTCAGTTCTAACTTCATGAATAGTTAGATGTAATCATGCGTAAAATTCACTGCCTCAGATTCCCTGCATCCGGTTATCGTGCAATGCAGGAACACATTTACAAAATGATCGGAAACAGTGATCAACAAGCGTTTAGTCCCTATTGGTGGTAACTACATTTTTGAATAGCTCTGATAACGGCTGCCTTCCAGCAAGCAGCGCTCGTTCCAGTGACAAGCACGTACTGAACTAGACACCGGTTGTTTTGGCAAGCTGATTGGCACAAGGTTTCAACGAAATGTTTATCGGCACCGTGATGCTTGTAAACTACGCATTTCTTCAACATTTGGAGAATCTCACCCGGGATAGCCGGTTTAACTGCAAGAATAGTTAGAAACGTGGTGAGGGTGCATACGGATGGTACAGAAACGAAATGGTGATTTAGTAGATGAACGTCGGTACACGTGGCTCACCGAAATAATTTCAACCGTAGTTCTGTTCGGATATGTTCTTCGAACTCCAATCTGAACAGTCGGATCGTTCAGTGTTGCTGCGCCTACCTGTCTTGCAAATCGTCCAAAGGCACGAATAAGTTAATCCAAACGCGTGGAGGACAACCTATCGATTCGAAAATAAATTGTTCAAACATGGTAACATTTGTCATAGCACAGGTTGAGGTCACTGGCCAAGTTTAACAAGGCAGAGAAAACCGAAACGCATGTCGAAAAGCGTGTGTTGATATAATATCAACAGACTGTGATGAGTCAAGTGGGAATTTAGCAGGACGAAACATATGCACACATTTCCAAACCTATATATTCTCAAAGTCAATAGTATGCAAACAACAATCGTGTTTCCTGACCACCCTTAACAATTCGACAATTGGAAATGAGCGAGAGCCGTAATTCCGGAATCAGACTCGAAAACACGGAGATGTTTCCTGACGACAGAGGTGCATTACAACAAGTGACGTTAATCAATCATGAATTTTTTCGAACTGATCAGAAACTGGAATATCCACGGTACATTGAATCAATGTAGATAAATTTGGCAAAAGCAGTACCGAAATATCAAGACCAAGACTGTGATCTATCAGGTATTGTTGCATATCTTTTGAGAATGTCTGAATCCTAAGCGAGCGTCTCATATAAGCGCTGGAGATCTGTATGATTTGCCGGTGTTCAATGCAAAGGTTTAGCAATCGGGTAAGATGGAACCAAAAGTGAAAATGCTCTTTATTTTACTAGCAACTTTGGCATCCTGAGCTGTAGACCCTCAATGATTTGTGAACTATCCAGCTGCGGTTTGAAAATCCGTGATCAAAAGCATACCTTTCAGTCAATTCCATGTCGGAGATAAGCGTAAACGTTAACAACCTTCATTTGAATCAATGGTGGCTAATCATAATTGCTGTGTAACAACATTGCTCAGCGAAGTAGAGTCAACTATTTAGTAGAACCATCAAAGGGATATCAGAACTCGACTACACGCCCCGTGGACAGCACACAGAATGGTGACATACTCGGCTTATTGTTTGAGAAACCGCCATTTATTGCAGGAACTGGAACGGTGTATCACTTGTGATATCCGTAACTGGGTGGTAGTTGCTCCTTTTTAGAATCATAACGAAAACGATAACCTCTATGGAGCTAAAACCAACCTCAAGCGCTCAGCTGATGCGCTACCACAAGATTATTTATTCCAGCTGAAGTGTCACTGGTTAACGTTTAGTAACGATAACGGCTGAAATACGACGCATACAGAGGGGTGTTAGCAAGCTGGGGAAACATTACCAACTGCCAGTCGGTTAGGGATTCAATCCAGAACTCTGTAGTCATGGGTTATAACAATGTAGCACCACATGCTCGGAAATAAATATGTTTGAAAACAGTTGTCGTGCCCGGTTGGATGCCGCTGAATTGACATTTACCCCATATTTTCAAATAATTATCTTCGTAATGTCCTTAAAATTGAAGGACCTCTACAGTACATGAAAGAAGCAATAATATTGCAACATCTATAAAATACAGAAAAAGCGTAAATAGTGTGTTACAACAAAATTGGTGATTTATACATTATCATGCTTCAAATTAAAACGTTTTACTTTCAGAATACACAGCATCAGTATGATCTTAACAAAATTTACATTACAAACGAGTAACGTGACCGGAAATTTGTGATATCCGTAACTGGGTGGTATTTGTTCCTTTTTAGAATCTTATTGGAAATGAAAACCTGTACGGAACTGAAGCAAGCTCAGAGCTTTCAACCGTTATTACGAGATTATTTATTCCAATTGAACATTCTTTGGTTATCCATCAGTAATAGGAACGAACCATTGAACGAAAGTGTGTGCAGCGTGATGTTAGAAAGCTGAGAAGAACATTTCCATATGTCCCGTAATAATGTTTCATTCCATAAGTTCGGACTGACAGGTTATAACTTTGTAGCATGACATGACCGTGAACACAAGTGTTTGAAAAAAGTTCCTAAGCACAGAAGTAACCCTTTTATTTTATTATTTCTCCATATTTTCCAATACTAATCTCCGTAACGTCTCGACAGGACAAAAAGGAAGCAACACTATTTCAAACTATCCAAGACAAAGAAAAATCATAAATAGTGGTATAAAACAAAATTGCTGATTGTAGACATTCCTATGATAACAAATGAAACGTTTTACTTTCAGACACATTTAGGTATTCGAATGAATTTGAAACGTGGACAGAGTTTGAATTTCACGACTGAAGTATTTCCAAAAGGTTCTGTGCTTTCAAAATATGATCGATCATCCCAATCAAAGTGCTTATTTTTAAAAGCTGAACCCTAAAATATATGTTCCAATCAGTTTCTCAAGTGCTAAGGGCAACAGTACCAGTTGCTTTTACAGATTGAATAAGTATCTTTGGTCAAAAGTAGTAATACTTGGTTGGCATGATCTTGACTCTTAAACCAGAGATTCTTGACCGGGATTCCTAAACGTGTATGGCGATATAGACTGGAGTATTATCAGTCGAAATGATTATTTATGAAATCTTGACAAGCTTCGCCACATCCGTTTCCTCTCATTAGAAAAGATAACACAGTTGTTTGTTGGAAGTTCGGGCGTGGTACGTGTTGCATTCCAGTGGATAAATGGTCAAGTGTTGCGTCACCCATTGCATTTATGTGTCTGAATCATCGCTCTCATGATTAACTACGTCCCTGAACCTTTGAAAAATTCAAACCATTACGATTTATCAGTTCAGTCGTCAAGTTAAAAAAGGATAAAAAGATGAAGACGTTTTCATCAGAAAACCACCGACCAAACACGTGAAACCCATGCTGTCACTCATGCGACCACCAGTAGATGTTGTGCTATTGGACAGGGCCAACATAATTGTTGTCGGCATAATCAGATTTCGTTCATCTAACAAAATCTAAGGTTAGATATTTCCAGCCAGATAGCTTGGTTAACACAGCAAATTTTCAGTTTATGAAATTCTTCGGGGATGAGGTGGTTGATTACCACTGCTTTCACTATTGGAAATTGAATGCAACTAGGGCTGATGTTATAACAATCTCTTTCAAATGAATCACCTGCTCCCCACTGATAACCAATAGTCCAAACGTATTCACATATGGTATTTGCAGAAAACTGCAGCCATCCATATGGAAAACATTCCGGAAATCTTCAAGATATTATAATTTATATAGTGTGAAC